CTCTCCCTGGTGGTCCAGTGGCTGCCGGTTGGGCAGGCGGCACTGGCTGCTGGGTGGGCAGCTGGCGAGGGAGCACTTCCTCTGAGCGGTCATCTTCCGGCTCCCAGCCTCACCCTGCGGCATGCGAGGGAGCTGAGCGGACCGCTCAGAGGAAGAGCTCCCTCGCCAGCCGCCCGCCCAGCGCCGCCCGCCCGCTCGGGCATGTCTGTTAGCCGCAAGGCTAACTAGGCATTTGCCCTGGGCATTTGGGGGCGGCATTTTTTGCCGCCCCCTGAAAAATGCCGCCCAAGGCAAATGCCTTGTTTGCCTCGCGGCTAATACGCCCCTGACCAGCAGGTAAGTAACTAAGCAGGTGAACTTCTAATGTAAAAACACACTGTACACTCACTGAAGATAAGATGAATAGATTTTGTGAGGATGTGTATAGGCAGGCTTTTTTTTGCGTTAAAGGGACACTATAGGGTCAGGAACACAAACGTGATTCATGACCCTGTAGTGTTAAAACCACCACTGATGCTCCCTTTCCCCCTAAATATAGTAAAATCTTACCTTTATACCAGTCTGAAGATGCTGGCTCTGCCTCTGATCTGCCTCCTTGGCTGACATCACCAGAAGTGATGATCTCAGTCAATCACAATGGTTTGCCATAAGAAAGCATTGGATTCACTGAGATTGTCAATTCAGATGATCTCAGCCTAGGAGATGGGTGGAGTGGTGGAGTCAAATGCAACCCAGGCCAATCAGCATCTCCTCATACAGATGCATTGAATCAATGCATCTCTATGAGGAAAGTTCAGTGCATGCAGAGGGTGGAGACAGTGAATGTCAGTGCTGTACAGTGTGCAGCATTGCCCCAGGATGCACCTCTAGTAACTATCTGAGGAATGGCCACTGGATGTGTCCCTAGGCTGTAATGTAGACACTGCCTTTTCTCTGAAGGGAATGATTATACTCACCAGAACAAATACAATAAGCTGTAGTTGTTCTCATGATTATAGTGCCCCTATAAAACCAGACAAGGTGTGGCACATAAAGATAAACTTTTAAACAGCAGCAGCACCGGACTGGGAACAGAAAGCAGCCCTGGAAAAAAATAATTCCAGCCCTCTAATTGATTGTGTAACATAATATGCTTGTATTTTTTTTGTATGTATGTGCTTTGGAAGAATTTTGCCTTAACTGCAGCCCCTCGCTCCAGATAATCCATGGGTGTTACAGTGCTGTAACACACACCCTCCAGGCTGCCCCCTGTCCATTGTGATTAGCTCTGCTTGGGGACAATTCTTCAAGCAGGGAAATACTCCATTCCGATATCTGCATCAATATGTCAATTGTATAATTTCAGCAAATATATATATTAAAAGAGTTCAATGGCACACACACACACACACACACACTGACTACAGAAAAGCTCACTGACACACACAAGCTCACTACAGACAGGCCCACTGACACAAACAAGCTCACTTTTTTTTAATTATTATTTATATTTATTTTTATATATTTATTATTGTTATTTATTATTTTTATTTTGCCTCATAACCCAGTGGCTCTCGCTTTACGTTACATCCTCACTTCTAGCTGTCTAGTAATAGCCTTCCCTCCACTTCCCAGGTACACTCCCTTCTTTCTTTGTAACCCACTACAGACAAGCTCACCAATACACAAAAAACACCCTCTGACCCATGCACAAGAGCTCACTACAGACCAGCTTACTGCCACACACAAGTTTACTGACAAGCATTCACCCAAGCACACTACAGGTAAACTCAGTGACAAACTAACTGCAGACTAACTCACCACACACAACCTCTATGACCCACACAAGCTCGCTAATGACAAACACATAAGTGCTCTAACCCACACAAGCTCACTGACACACAAAAGCTCTCTGACCCACACAAGCTTACTACAGGCAAGCTCACTGACACACACAAGCTCACTACAGACAAGCATAC